GAGGGAGAGAGAGAGAGAGAGAGAGAGAGAGAGAGAGAGAGAGAGAGAGAGAGAGAGAGAGGAAATGTAAGCAATTGCTACCTTATAGTGTGAGCCTAACACATGGCCTACAATAGTGAATAAAGAGCCCAGGGGAAAAATAAAGATCTTACCTGCCTTTAAAGAACATCACCTCTCCCCTAAATGTAGTTATAGCATCAAAGGTTAGATGACTATCACATGGATGTGGTGTTGTTGCACCTGTTGGCTGGATGGGATTTGGTGAAGGGCCTAAAGAATAGAAGAGAGCTGGAGTTAGTTTCCATGGTTCTGAAAGGCCACCTGGAGGATGAAAATGCCTTCGACTGTGCAGCTAAGGATGATTCACTTACCATATAAAGCCTGGATGCGATTAATATCGTCCTGGTTTAGCACAAAGTCTTCAGTGTACCATGTGTAGCTGGGGAACATTAGTGCTCCTATATCTCTAGAATGAGTAAGTCCAAGGGAGTGGCCCAGTTCATGAGCCGTAACATAGAACAAGTTGAAATCTGGAAGGACAAAGTGATCCATCTAATTATTAAAAATGGGGTTGAGAATACCAACCAACCACAGCTCCCAGGGTCTAAACCACCAGCCTGGGAGCACTTAGGGAGGGATCCAGGGCTTCAGCTGAATACGTAAGAGCGGAGGGCCCTGCTGGGCATAGGTGGAAGAAGAGAACCTTGACCTCATTAAGGCTGGATGCCCCAGGGGGTGGGAATTTTGAGGGTGGGGAAGTGGGAGTGGGGGGTAGATAGAGGTTACATCCACAGAGAAGAAGGAGGAGGAGTGAGGGGATAGGGGGTTCCTGGGTGGGTGGGGGATGGGGTAAGGGGACAACATATGAAATGTAAATAAAACATCCAATAAAAAAAATAAAAAAAGGGGTTGAGGTATTATAAAGGAAATAATCTTCCAGGGTAAAGGTTCACATCTTCGTAGTCACTTTTTGAACTACACGTATGTATCCACAGTCTTTTCCTGATGGTGAAAGCTGCGTCTATTAATTCTATTGTATAATAGAGCTCTCACTGACTTAAGGTCCAGCTCACATGAGTCCATGTTAACTCTGAGCTGGGATGAGTTCCTTCTCAGAGGAGCAATGAAGCTCTGCTAACAGTTAGCACTTCTTATTTACAAAGCTGATGGACAGGCAGTGTGTGAAATTTCGGAAATACAAAAAACCTTCCTTTTGAACAGAAAACTATTTGATTTTACTGTATCTTTGTTTGTTCATGAGCACATGTGTGCATGAGCACGAGTGCATACACATATGTGTGCATGTAAGCACAATGTGTACTGAGGATGTCTCTGTAGAAGGCAGAGAACAGCTTAAAGGACTCAGTTTTCTTCCACCAAATGGGTTCTGAGAAACAAAATGAGAATTTCAGATGTTGCGTCTCACCAGTCTTCTAAATTTTCTTTTTTCTTTCTTATTTATTTTTTAATTCATCTCTCATACAATATATCCTGACTGTACAGCAGCCCCTCTGCCTTCCACTCCTTCCAGCCTTTCCTTGACTTCTGGTCTCCCCCATATCTTTTCTGTTTCCCTTTAGAAAAGAGCAGGCTTCCCATTGATATCAACAGCACAACAGCATTCCATAAGACTATACACAAACCCTCATGTCATGGCTTGATGAGGAAACCCAGTAGGATCAAAAGGCTCCTGAGCACAGGCAAAAGTCAGAGACACATCAGCTCCCACTCTTAGGAGTCCCACAAACATCTCACGCTAAAGAATTGTAGGCCTTATGCAGGGGACCTAGCACAGATAAGAGAAGTTTTAGAATGACACATTTGCCATGGGGAAGATGATATGCAATCAGAAAATAATCCTGTCCCATGCTTCTCAATGTACTCCTAATTCTCTGAGTGGCGGTAGATTCTCTGTTTCCATTAATGCACTCTGTCCACTAAATAAACCAACCCTGCAAGGAACTAGGAAGGGCCAGGTGAGCTGCGAGAAGAAATGTCAGTGAACTTACTCTCACTGTTGTCAGTCCATGTCTCATCAAGATCATAATGAACATCACCTCCCAAACGTGGGCCTGGCGGGAAAGTGTGAGCAAGTCCATAGTTAGGTCCATCAAATGGGTTGTTGTCACCATGGTCTGCAAAAAATGAAAATTCAACAAAAGACTCATTTAGTTCTCACATTGGTTAGTTCAGAGTTTTGTTGGGCAGTCAATGTACTTCCATCCAATGCGATATTATTTTTCTTCTCAACCTTAGAAAATAAAACACATTCTTCAACAAGAAACTCTTCCTGCAAAGCAGAGGAGATTGAAGGGCAATGTGAGGTTGAAGAGTTTACCTCCTCTGTGGAAGGAGAACACAATATCTCCTTCCTCTTCAAAGACCCTTTCAAATGTTAGTGGTGTCACATCACTCCAGACTTTAAAGGCTCTCTCGATGGCATTTTCCACAACTGCTCTTGGCAAATATGGTGTGTAGTTTAAAATGCTAAGAAAAAATAAGATGGAGACACAGTGGATCTTGTTTTCTTCTATTCCAGTGGGGTAGTTATGCCCCCATTTTGATGCCTCATCTAGTTACCTGTAAGTCAGATGTGTTTTGGTCCAACGAGGATTGTTGTAAGTAATGGCATATGGGGCCACATCAGGCACCCCACACCTGGGCTTGCTCATCGCTCTTAGAGTTTCAGGATCTGAATTTCCAGTCACTTTCAGCCCAAACAACTGCTGCATTTGCCTCAGCTTTTCAGCCATCACCTCCTTGCTAGTCACGTTTTTAGCTTGCAAGTCTTTGCCCAGGTTGTAGTATTTTTCCAGGTATTTCTAATAAAATATAACATTAATGAACCACTAGGGTCTGGAGAGATGGTTCAGCAGTTAAGAGCACGTACTGCTGGCAGAGACCACAGACTCAGGTGATCTGAAGATTCTGTTGGCCTCCACCTGTGATGGATGTACACATGGCACACGCACATTCATAAACACAATTAGGAGTAGATAAATATTCTGTTATTGAAACACTGAAAAGAAAAATGGCTCTCATGTTTTTAAAATGACATCCTGAAGTTTTAGCCAAAATAGAGAATTACTTTTCGAGCTTTGATTAGTCTTTTCAACCCTCATTACCCTAATTACTTTAGAGCAGAGATTCCCCCAGCATTAACTACTGAAAAGTGTGAAGTTTGTTCTAGAAGATTTGTAGGAGAGGTTTGCATTCCATTCCAAATCCACATTTATAGAGGGAATCGATTCTCCTTGCTTGGAGAATCAATTAATCAATCAAATAGGGTCCCTTCTACCCCAACCAGAGAGGTATCTAGATTTGGCTATAAACATTTTTGAGAAGGTTACATTTCTGGCAAACACCATTTCTCTTAGACAGAAATCCATAGGTAATACCATCATGCTATAATAGAAAGATGCAAACTGAAGACTACATGTGTGATGTAGTATTCATTTACCCAGGCTGTCTCCACATTTTGCCGGAGTCCATCCTGAAACACAGGGAAACTGTATGAGCAGGTACCCCAGAGAAGCAACAGCAATGGAAGGCTATGCATGCTGAAGCTTTTCTCTGGGCAAGATCACCAGTGGCCTCCTTCCTGCCTGCTCCAACATCCTACCCAGGAACTTCCATCTTTATATAGAGATTTCTTTGACTTCTAGAAAGCCAGAGGCTATATGACTCAGGCTTTGTAACATCCTCTTCAGTAGCAGGGAAGAAATCAGACACCTTGACCATAGCAGATGAGTTAGATTAGTTTGGTGCAGCAATCCCAGGATTATATCTAGCAGCACATGTGTGAAAGAGATGGTCTTCAGCATTTAAACTGCTGTTTTCTCTGATTCATATCTACTGTATTTGAAAAAGGTTCTGGTCTATTAATTCATAGAGACAGCATAGTCGAAGGCTCAGT